GTCTTATATAATCAGGTTCGTCTTATATTCGGGCCAATACGGTATATATATATATATAATTTAAAAAATATATTTCTAAATTAAAAATATTGTCTGTAATAAATCTGTTTAAATGAGATTTCTTACCTGATATACTCCTCTTTATTTTCCTCTGTCACCTGAATGTTTCCTCCATCAGGTTTGAGTTCATGTGTGGTGACTTCTCCCAAAATCTCCTTATCCACCGAGAAATACATCTCCAAGCCACATTCCTCTATATTATTATCCCTATAGAAAAACACTTCGTAGTTAGGACCAATTGGGATTCTTAATTTCCTAGTAATTCATATCCCGGATTACCACAGTTTTAACCCCCAAGCCCTCACTATTACTCATTCAACTCATTCAACTCCTTCTCACTCACTTGATCCAGATGAGCGAGTTGTAAAACTCCGGGTCGAGGTCTTTCAGGTCTTTCAGAGCCAGAGGTTTGTTCAGGATGCGCTTATAAAATGGCAAAGAGAAGCCCGTGTCTATGAACTTCCCATGAAACAGAGCCTGTGTGAGAGAGAACGTACAAATAATATTCAGAAGCTTTCAATGCATTTCAAACTAAGATACTTCAGAGGTCAGTCGCACCATAGCGATGAACCGGCCAATGAACTTGAAGTATTTGAGGTGGTCAGGGTTGATGGAGGAGGCGGGGTTAATCTGCAGGCAGTAGTTGTCTTTGCCGGCGTACTCGAACAGACAGTACATGGGGTTCAAGACCTCGTGAGACAGCAGGAAGAACCATTCCCTATGACAAAAACACAACATTATTGTGTGTGTGTGTGTGTGTGTGTGTGTGTGTGTGTGTGTGTGCATATATCAACTCAAGTCATCACTTCCTGTAAATAACGCAATATACCTGGCCACGCCTCCATAGTCAAGTCCCTCCTCCCCCGGGAAAATAATCCACAGTCTCCGTCTCAGATCTTGAGGATGGCAACTCATAATCTAAACAAATCAATTCACAAGCGTTTAATTTCTTTATGCATGCCACATAGGGATGTAACGATTCACTCAACTTACGATTCGATTCGCGCCATCTAAACTTTTCTAAAGACAGTAAGTTCCCCTCAGACATGCATTCATATAAACTCCTGCCCCTAAATGAATCGCGATTTGTTTAGCATCTCAACCGATTTAAATCGTCACATATTTGAATCGATTTTCAACCGGCTCGCGGTTAATCGTTACATCCCTATTAATGACACAAGTAAATTAACTTTTCAAATACATACAAAAAGTGTCATTCACCTGCTGAAAGGAGTCCTCAAACAGCGTTTTGCGACTGACGTGGATCTTAATGTGCTGAGGAATTGCTAGTTGCTTTGGTATCAAAAACATTTTTTATTATAAATTAAATCACATGTGAAAATATTTTTTTTGTTTGCTTTGGTACTATTTTCATTCCTTGGTACCATTCCTTTTCAGAACTCTTTAAAGTACTCATCTCTAAAGAAGTCAATTAAATGCATTTATTTTTTCAAATGCTAATGCATACTGATAAAACAAAATCACTTTTTCATCACACCTAAATACAATTTTAGCATTATTTGCAATTCATTTTGTATAATTATTATAAGTAATTAATTATAATAATATTTATTAATTATTGTGCATTACTTATCAAACTGTTATTCTTAACTATTATGCTTATTAATTATATTATAATACATGAATTTAAAAAAGTAATTTTTTTTAAACATGAATCTTCACTGTCAGCAGCTCAAAAAGTTGAATTAACAACCATTAAAATGACTAAATTTATTCTGTTGTTCAATCATTCTGTTGTGTTTTGCTGATTAAAATTTCAAACGATGAAAATGTAAACACTGACTCCGCGACATTAAACATTTACAAGCCTAATGAAAGAACGATAGCAGGTTTTTAACAAAAGCCTGATCAGTTTTGTAGAGTTCTGAAGATGAATGAAAATAGCATCAAAGCAATTAAAAACTGTAACTTAATGAGCATTTCTAATTTATGCCAGTTATACGAGGTCCTACCTGACACCAGAAGCGGAAATAGTGCATTTTGGCTTTAAAATCTCGTACGTATGTGATCTGAGGGCCGTTCTCACTGCAGGTTCACAAAGACAGAAACAGACTGTAAAACTACACCAAAACATTCACACACAGTATTATTTAAAACCATGAAACTGCATTTAACAGCATTTGACTTATGTGACATATTTCTATTTCCATGTGAACATATTTGCACCCTAAGACAAGAACAATCCTGTCAAAGTCTTGCTTTTTGAACATCTGCATCTGAGCATATCACAGGATACCTTCTCTTTATATGTTAAACTGTTAAAAAGGCTCACAGGGAGGATTTTCCTGTACGAGGATCGATGTACGTCGTCGTTTTCCTGTTGTGATCGACAAAATAGGGAATCCCGTCCACTGTGAACCTCATCTCCCAACCCTCCGGCAAAGGCTTCTCATTCAACAACCTGACACACAAAAACATTGCATTAAACAATTAAAATAAAACCATAATGCTGCACGTCAGCTCATTCTGTTAAGTCAAACATGATCAAAAAATAATATCATATAGCAAAGAGGCAATTTAGGGTTATTATAGTGAACTCAAAGTATTAAAGCTGCAGTCCGTAAGTTTTGCCTCTTTGTCGCCATCTCTGTTTGAAAACCTGGAATTGCAGCTGTGTGTGGAATTATCTAGCTTGCGTGGGTTGTGAGTCGGCGCGGCTCCAGCGCGGATGAATCTAATGTTTTGAGGAGTATGTGTGACAGTCAGTCACCGCCGGTGTGGATATTTACTGTACTTTGCAATCACA